ATCCCAGAGTTCGCCTCAATTCTTCCAGGTGTGCCAGACTAGGAGCCAGGTCCTCCTGGCCCCCGCCAGATGGCAGACGCATCCCGAAGTATTTGAGAGACTTGAATGTCTCCTGTCGGCCGTCAATCTCGGCCTGATCAAGATTTAATGACATGGCATCATTCTTACACAACTTGGAAGAAAACAAAACTAAATGGCAATGTGCTCGCTGTTTTGTATGTAAAAGAATTAGAGAAACTGTCAACTAGAAATTTAACCTACGAGTTAAAAGCTGGATTAGTAAGTGACAAAAATACATGGAGGCTGTTACACTGAACTGACAGGATAAATTGCTGCAAGTTAACGGTTCTTCCTACTGCCAATTTGGTCACCTTGTCTTTTTACAGATTAAGATCTGGACACAACACAGGCATAGCGAGCAACCGATTAAATTTTCTGACTTATATGCTGGAGAAAAGAAGTGGAAGAGAATGGAAATGTTTTGAGATTTGAGGTTTATGGTGAAAATGTCAATTGCAGTCTTATGGGGTCATGTAGGTGGTTACACTGTTCCATAAACATAAATGCATGTTCCAAAAAAAAATTAGGTGGGAGTGGCAAAACTAGCCACTGGGTGTCCAGTTCTCCAAAAATATCTTCAGTGAAACATGTCTTAAGCTATCAAATGAAAGGCAACAAATACGTTGATATTTTTTTAAGAGTGGGTTAAAATTTATAAAAATCTGTCATAGGATGATTAAACATGAGTCTTATTAGGGACTTACAACTTCTTCATTTTAAATCACATTTTCCACAATAAACCCGCACTTCTACACACAAACTTTGAGACACATAAATATTCTTGCCATCTGGTTACAGAATTACGTTACCGGTACCTTGCGTTCTTGGTGCAATTCCAGCATGGCCTCTGCCTCCACACTAGTGGCAGGCAGTTCTGATGAGCCCATGCGTTTAATGGTCTCTGCCACCCAGAGCTCCAGCTCATGCAGGTCAGCACGAAACTTGTGAAGCGTGTACGCGGCAGCAAGAGCGTCACTGCGCCGCCGAGCCAGCTGCTGCAATGAACGCCAATTCTCCTGCAGTTCTGACAGCTTGCTGCGGATTGGCGCTGATAAGTCGGGATGTTTCTGCGACAGGCGGCGCGCCTCTCCATCATGTTCCTATTGAAGTCAGTGCACATGTACCAGACTACACACCAAGATAAGCCAGTTGGACATGTGGCACATCTCTCAAAGCAGAAGCACGAGTCACTCTTTGAAAACTCAGTCAAGCATTCATAGCGGGCAGCTGGACAATAAAATGAGACTGATCTCTGCAAAGACACTTCAAACGTAATGCCCGATCCTCTTTACATGGCTGATTTGCTACACCAAGCTATAAACCAAACTATGTCTGCCACCCTTAAAATGTTATGACCAAGTTGTACCTTCAGCTTCCCCTCAACTGCTGTCATGTCACGCTCCAGGGTCTCCTGCTTGCGTTGCAGTTGCTCCACGGCTGCTAGGTCACGCCCCACATCATCTGTATTCATGGCTACTGCCTTCTCTGCCACACGCTGACTGGTGTCATCAACATCTCTGTTGAAGGCATGCACCTCTAGAGCACCAGCCAGGCGGCCACGATACATGTCTAGTGCTCCCTGAAGCTCATGCCACCTGCGACAGGATGTATATGTTAAAAGATTTTATTTAATGAACAGTGTAAGTTATACAGTGTGTTCAAAAAGTCACGCAACCTTATGGGCAAACGCATGTTGTTGTTCAACACATGTAATTGTTTTTTTTTGCCCAGGTAGTAAAGAACACTGAGTAGCCATGGGGTACACCTTGCAGCAGCGTATATTTATTGTCACGGTCCGGCAGTTATGCCAGGACGCAGGAGGCCTTCTCAGAAAAGTACGGAACAGTTGCTCCAAACAAATCCTCCATCATGCGGTTACACGACAAGTTTCAGGAGACAGGAAAAGTCGAGGACGCGTCGAGAAGCGGTCGACCGAAGGTGTTAACAGAGGAAAAGTTGGTCGACGTGCAAGCTGCATATGCTGTGAGTCCCCGGAAGTCCGTTCGACGCCTTTCAAGTCAGTCCGGGCTCTCTGTCGGCAGTGCCCACACAGCGTTGCGCAGGTATTGTCAAGGTCCGGCAGTTATGCCAGGACGCAGGAGGCCTTCTCAGAAAAGTAGGGAACAGTTGCTCCAAACAAATCCTCCATCATGCGGTTACACGACAAGTTTCAGGAGACAGGAAAAGTCGAGGACGCGTCGAGAAGCGGTCGACCGAAGGTGTTA